GAATCCCTACATGTTACTACAAGAGGTACCAAAAGAAAGAGTTGAATATTGATAACTCAAGCTTACTTTGGCATAGACGTTTGGGTCATTTGTATCCAAATCAAGAATTTTTGAGCGTCTTGTTTCGTGATGGTATCTTAGATACACTTGGATTACACAGGTTATTGATTCTTGTTATTTGTATTGAGTGTATTAAAGGAAAACAGACTAAACAAAAGAGACTAGGTGCCATTCGGTCATCCAATGTTTTAGAACTGATTCATACAAATATTTGTGGTCCATTCCATATTGCAGCTAGAAATGGCCAAAGATATTTTATATCATTCATTGATGACTATTCTCGTTATGGTTACTTATATCTCATTCATGAAAAATCTGAGTCTTTGGACCTGTTTAAATCTTATAAAGCCGAAGTTGAAAATCAACTAGGAAAGAAGATTAAATCTGTTCGATCTGACCGTGGTGGTGAATATTATGGTAAATATGACGGTTCAGGCGAACAACGTCCAGGACCTTTTCGCTTTTCCTACAGGAATGTGGAATTGTCCCTCAATATACAATGCCTGGTACTCCCAGCATGAATGGTGTATCTGAGAGACGTAATAGGACTCTTATGGATATGTAAGGAGTATGATTATATTCTACTTTACCAGAGGTCTCTGTGGGGTTGAACGGTTAAAGACAACAGCTTATCTCTCAATAGTGATTCCATGCTTAAAAGCAGTTGCATAAAACACCTTATGAACTTTGGATGGACGTAAGCCTAGGTCTAAAGCATCTTTCATGTTTTGGGGATGTCCAGCATTGAAGCAAGGGCCTTTACAAGTCGATTGAAACAAAACTGGACTCCCAAAACTATCAAGCAAGCTACTTTGTTGTATTCTGGCGGGTCTAGGGTTACAAGTTTTATAATCCTACTTCTTAATACTTTTTTTTGTGAAACGAGAATTGCAAACATTTTTTGAGGGAGATCGTGATTTTGGAGGAGAAGAAGAAATAAGAAAGAAACAGTACTCTTTTAAGAAAGAAACATTGTCTTTGAAGAGGAATCAAGTAAGGATGATTCGATTCTCATTCCTTTTGTTGTTACAGACTCCAGTTGCTCCTGTCGCTATTCAAGATCCAATTCAAGACAATGCTATTCTTCCTCAAGAACAAATTCAACAACCTCAAGAATTAGAACCTGTTCAAATGCCTTTGAGGAGATCTACTAAGGAGAGAAGAAGTGCTATTCCAGATGATTATATAGTGTTTCTTCAGGAACATGAGGATACTGTAGACATGATAGATGATGATCCAGTTAGTTTTTATCATGCTATGCAGAGTTCTGACTCTCATAAGTGAATTGAGGCAATGAACGAAGAGTATAAGTCTATGCAAGACAATCAAGTTTGGGATCTTGTTCAATTACCTGAAGGAAAGAAACCCATTGGTTGCAAATCATTGGTTGCAAATGGATATTTAAAACCAAAAGGGATTCTCAAGGTAATGTGGAAAGATATAACGCACGTCTTGTAGCAAAAGGCTTTACTCAAAAGGAAGGGACTGACTATAAAGAAACCTTCTCTCCAGTTTCTTCGAAGGATTCTTTTAGGACAATCATGGACTTAGTTGCAAATCTTGATCTTGAGCTTCATCAAATAGATGTTAAGACTACGTTTCTCAATGGCAACATTGATGAAACAATATATATGGTGCAACCAGAAAATTTTGTAATTGGAGATCCAAAACATCTGGTATGCAAATTAAAGAAATCCATTTATGGACTCAAGCGAGCTTCTCGTCAATGGTACTTTAAGTTCAACTAAGTAATTGTCTCGTTTGGCTTTGAGGCAAATTGTTGAAAAATTGTGTTACCATAAGTTCAGTGGGAGTAGATTTATCGGTTTGTTCTTATATGTGGGAAATGACATACTTCTTGCTACTAATTGGTAAAGGTCTTGCTGCATGATAAACCAAAATTTTCGTTCAAAGTGCATTTTTGAGATGAACAAATTTAGGTGAAGCTTCTTTTTTTTTAGATTCAGATACCATCGAGGACCGTTCTCAAGGTATTCTTGGATTTGATCACAAAAAAGAGCGTTATATTGATAAAGTGCTCAGAGATTTAGTATGCTAGAATTCAGTAAGACCATTGGATACCCCTATTGCAAAAGGTGATAAATTTAGTAATCAACAATGTCCAAAGAGTGAACTTGAAATTTAGGAAATGCAAAAGGTTCCTTATACGTCAGCTATAGGAAGTCTTATGTATGTTAAAGTTTGTACTCGTCCAGACATTTCTTTTATAGTTGGCATGTTAGGTAGATATCTCAGCAATCTAGGAATGGATCATTGGAAAGCAGCCAAAAGAGCCATGAGATATCTTCAGAGGACTAAGGGACATATGCTCACATATAGGAGATCAGATCAGCTTGAGATCATTGGGTATACTGATTCTGATTTCGCTGGATGGATGCCGAAGACAGCATTAGAAATCCGACATTCTGGCTACGTTTCTATTGGCTGTGGTGGTGCTATTTTTGAAGGAGTGTGTTGAAACAAAACCTAGGTAGCAACCTCCACCATGGAAGCTGAATTTGTAGCATCTTATGAGGCATCCAATCAAGCTATTTGGTTGAGAAACCTTGTCACTGGGCTGCGTGTAGTAGGTGGAATAGAAAGACCACTGAAGTTGTATTGTGACAGCAGGTCAGTCGTTTTATTCTCCAACAACAACAGGAGCTCTTCTCGATCAAAACACATTGACATTAAGTTCTTGGCTACGAAGGAGAGGGTACAGAGTGGACAGATATCCTTAGAGCATATTGGAACAAACTCTATGATTGCGGATCCGCTTACAAAGGCAGTGATACCGAAAGTTTTAAAGTTTTCCATGAGCACACCGCTCATATGGGTATCGTTTTGTTTGAGACTGTCTAGTTTTAGTGGGAGTCTGCTCTTTATGTATACATTATGGTTTTGAATGCTCTATTTTGTTTTGGATATGTTTTATCATGAAATTTTGTTGAGTACTCATTTTGGTTGATGGTTACACTCTGTATTATTATTATTGTTTGGTTACACTCTGTATTATTATTGTTTTGCTTGATCTCACTTTTGTTGGTGACCAGTTGGAAACAAACATGATGATCACATTACATTTAGTTTTCATCCTACACTTCTATAATGAATCTGTGTCATTTAGGGGTATTGGTAAGGTAGTTGATGATGAACTTAGTCATAAGATCTATGGCGAATGTTTCTTCAGCTCTTTATCAATATAATTAATGGACGAGATTGTTTTTGGATACCTCGTATGACTGCGTTTGTTGAGCTCATTTTGGTGTATGTATTTTATTTAACATACGCCCAAGTGGGAGATTGTTGGATTTAATTTTCTATTGTGGGCTTAATATGTAAAATTAAATATGTACAGCAGTCTAATTATAAAGTCAATTTTAAATGCGGTCTTGATTGTGAATAATTGACTATTGAGGTATCAACTAATTATAGATATTAAGTGTAGAGACCATTATATAATTCCTATTTCTTTAAAGGACCGAAATAGGAATTGTACTAACGAAATAGCCGAAATAGAATTTACTAAGCGCATGACGGTATAATAACAAGGTCGTGGTCCCCAAATAGTGAATACGGATCAGTGTTACGTTTGCTTCGTATTGCTTCGCGCTAAAATTCGATTCTCAATTCTCTGGAAAGGCTGCCAAACCTAATGTCTACACATCAAGATCGCCATGTAACAACATTGTCAGGAGGTACGCAACCTTTTCTTATTCAATCTATTTTGTTGAATCTAGTGGTTTGCACGATCTAGGTTATTGTGGAATTATTTGAGATTAATTCATAACAACCTTAGCAGTATCATTTAATACCTTAGAATAAAGCTTTGGCCATAATTACAGCAAAATAAGAAGAATACAACATTAGCACATACTGCCACGAGTATGTTCTAACGAAGGCAGGGCCTTTTCGCAGTTCCATGAAAGCAAGCAAATCAAAATTTGTTACAATCCAACCGTTAGTCAATGACATAGCCATGGCTGCTCTTCGACTAGGAGTAGTGGAATCTCCAAGCTTCTCCAATCCTGTCCTCGAATACAAAATTAGCAACACCTTCTCGGTGGTGGACGGAATAAATTTGGGCTGTAGTGGTGAGAGAAGGAAGACGATGGAGAAGAGGAAAATGGGTAAGGAAAACAAAGTTTAAGGGTGTCATTTGTCTTTTTACATTAAAATTAATGGAAAATATGTGTGTTTTTGATAGAAGGACTAAGCAGTAAGAAGGAGGTAAATCTCAAGGATATTTCAAATATTTTGACAAAATACCGGACTACTTAGATAATTGTGATAAACCTCAGGGATGAAATAATTATTTTCCCATAATAAGATTGTATTTTTTTCATCGTTTTCATACAATTAATACATTAGCTATATTTTAGAAAATAGATTCTCAACGCTGAATTTATTCTAAACATAATTATATATAATTAAAATTAATTAAAATTGTATATTTAAATTTAAACATACCAAATATGAAATTTTTATTTAAAAAATAATTATATGAAATTTTTATTTAAAAAATAATTATATCTAAAATTTATTTATAAATGAATTTCATAAAAAATAATTATATCTAAAATTTATTTATAAATGAATTTCATATTTAAATTCATTTATACTAAATAGACACTAATTCTAGTAATTCTAGAATGCAAAAGAAAAATTGCTTTGAACTTTGACAAAATGTTTTATCTTGAGTATCACTTAGTAGCTATACTTACTTCTTGTTTTGCAATTCTTTCTGATAATCTAATTCTCGTTTCCCTTTTCCTTCTCCTTCTCCATCGCTCTCTTCTCCATTCTCCTCATTTCTTTATCCACAGCTTTTGTGCTTCTTGATCAAACTTCTTGTTTTGCAATTCTTTCTGATAATCTAATTCTCGTTTCCCTTTTCCTTCTCCTTCTCCATCGCTCTCTTCTCCATTCTCCTCATTTCTTTATCCACAGCTTTTGTGCTTCTTGATCAAACTTCTTGTTTTGCAATTCTTTCTGATAATCTAATTCTCGTTTCCCTTTTCCTTCTCCTTCTCCATCGCTCTCTTCTCCATTCTCCTCATTTCTTTATCCACAGCTTTTGTGCTTCTTGATCAAACTTCTTGTTTTGCAATTCTTTCTGATAATCTAATTCTCGTTTCCCTTTTCCTTCTCCTTCTCCATCGCTCTCTTCTCCATTCTCCTCATTTCTTTATCCACAGCTTTTGTGCTTCTTGATCAAACTTCTTGTTTTGCAATTCTTTCTGATAATCTAATTCTCGTTTCCCTTTTCCTTCTCCTTCTCCATCGCTCTCTTCTCCATTCTCCTCATTTCTTTATCCACAGCTTTTGTGCTTCTTGATCAAACTTCTTGTTTTGCAATTCTTTCTGATAATTATACGCATCTTTTTCTACTTCTACAACTCCTCTGGGCCCGATTGTTGTTCCAATCACTCCTTTTGCAATAAACTCTTCCATCGCTTCAGTGTCACCTGGGCATGGAAACTCTCGCCTTTCGTAAAAGTGAGCTAGCTCTCTCTCCTCCTTTGGCCTTTGGCTTCAATGTCCGCTAAGCAAGCAGTGACATTTCGTTGTAGAGCTAAGCACCACCAAATAGTGTGTAGGTGCAGAGCAGTGCCTTTCCCACTTGCTTCCAGAGACACCAATCTTCTTTTCCTAATCCCACTTGTCGTAATTCACTGATTTTATATATGCAAAGCCTGAAACATTGTTTTGCCATAAATTTTGTTATCAGTCTTCTTTCAAGCATTTTAGCAAACACTTGGAATTGCAGCTAAGTTTATTAAAACAGAAACAAATTTGATATCACCTGTTTTGGCTTCTTGAAAACGTTAAAGGCTTTGCTGGTGACTAAAAATTCTATATTCGATTAAAAGCTTCAGCTTTCAACTTTGAAGACGGAGAAAGAAAAGGGAATTAGAATTTATGTTGAGTTTTGGTAGATTTTAAGGGCTCGGGTTAAGTTAACCCAACTTGGTTAAGTATAACCCTTTTTATTAGTATGATATTTTAAACCCCTAATTGTGCATTAAGACCGACAATATATCTAAGTTACTGAATTGAGATGTCCAGAGGACGAACGTCAGTTTAGAGTGATATTGTAACAAGTTACAAAAGTCAAGGTTTTTTTGTAGATTAAGCTGGTTGTTGATGGAGTCGCATAATATCCAAAATGTTAAGAAATATTCATCGTTTTCAAAAATTGATTGGTTGCAGAAAATCGTCAGGATATAAAATGGGCAAGGACAAGAAATATCCTTTTTCAACGAGAAAACAAAAATATAAATAAAAAAACATCCTTCGACTCTCGAGGCAGCAAACAACTAACTGCAAGCATCTAGCTTTTCTTATTCGTTTAAAATTTGAAATCTAGGACCATGCAAATGACTCTTAATCTTCGTCAAGACAGCATCTACAATTACAATTTTATAGTGGTTCAGCTAATCTTTCTTAATCACTTCTTTCTAGTGGTTCCCCACCGAAAAGAAGAGCAAAAGCCGAAAACAGCTTTTCCTTGAAACCAAAGTAAGTTCGGAAATTGAATCAAACTGATTAGTTAGGTTTGGTACACATCGGTTCGGTTTTACTCAGAAAAAACGCGTACATTTTGTAATGACTGATCCAAAGCCGAAAACCCAAATAATAGAAGATTGGAAAATGAAGCTGAAACTGAAAATCAAATGACTGGGACCAAAAACCGAAAATATTTCGGTTTCGGTTTTTCCCAAAATTTATATATCCCTAATTTGTAGTCTAAAATAGTGAAAGAAGTGGCCACATACCACATAATATCTCTCAAACAATTTGAGAATCACACCACACAAATCATATCTCCAAACCTCCGCCTGTCAAAGCCTCTTATGTGTCACTGCACCAGAAAACATCCCATTAACTATAACATTATAACGTCTAATCTGCTGCTCCTATGCTTCCATGATCTTATGCAAATGTTTCAAACAATATTCTATTAATGCAAGAAATGGAAACAGAAGAATATGCATAAAGGAAAACATAGGCAAAATAAGAGATTATTAAAATAAAGGAAAGCTTGTATTGATTTCGCCACAGCATCAGCGAGATGAGAAACTAGAACAAATATGAATAACAAATCATATAATCAAAGCATTTTTCAAATTCCAAAAAATCGTAGTATTGAAGAACAAAACAAAACAGGAAGACTTCTACAAGCCACCTTACAGAAAACATAATTTTAATAGCTGCTTCAAATCAAAGCAAGGTTGGTTGCGCTTTGGGAAAGGATGATGCAATTTCTTGTAATTAGAGAAAAGGCAAAGATGATAACAAATCAATAGGAATTGGAGAAGATGCCATTTCAAAAATTCACAATCATAACATCTGGTAATCAACAATCATCAAAAATATACTCTAGAGACTCACTAACTGTAACCCATTATACTCTGGAGTCTAAGTCTTGGCCAACCTTGACGATCACAAACAATGGCAACCAATATTATGTTCTCCCTATATAGCACCGCCGGACATCTTGAGTTTTTGCATAATTGAAGATGCATCCAACAGAGACCTGCATGTTTTACAAATCGAATATTTTTTTTTATCAGATCAGTATTCTAATTATCTAATATCAAATAACAAGTAATTATATGCTAATTTAGAGCTGTTGATTTCAAAACCTCTACTTTAGAGCTTTTCCTATTAGTTGCTAAGCTAATTTATGTTTATTTTATATTTAGACTATATTAACCTTATAAAAAAATAAGAGAAATTTTTTTCTCAAATTAATATTGTAATGTGATCACTTTAATTATTATTATTCAAATAATAAATAACTATCATATTACAATAAAATATTTTATTTAACATTTTTATTTGTAAAACACACAAAAAGAAAATAAATATTCACCTTACAGAAAATATATGACAATTATGTCCTTAGAAGTCATTTTATATCTCGACAAGAATCGCTAGTAAAACTTAACTAAACTAGCATCCATTACCACCGAGTGAAAACAGCTAAATTGAAATATTTAAATTAACTAACTATATGCTCAGGTCCCATTAAGCAACTTAAACTTATTATTAATTTCTAACTAGTAGCCTAGCAATCAAAAGGCAATAGTTTATAGCTAGTAATGTTAAGTCATTGTAAAACCATTTATTAACTGTTATTTAATCCTTAATCATTGGTGGACTTATACCCTTTATAGTTTAAACCAAAACCTAAGAATCCACAATTTACTCTAAGTTTTGTCCATCATAAAAGCAATAGTATGAAGATTGCTCACATTCTACATCAAAGCCGTAATCTGTTCACACAGAAGCATGGAAATTTGAATGATCTATCTTAAAACATTGCATAACTTTTGAAATGACAACAAAGAGACCTGCCCTTCCTTACTTAAATTTAGTTTACCAAATTTTATACTTGTGCTTCAGCTAGACCAGCAGCACTATTTGGTACAACAAATTTAGTGTTTGAGTAGAATTTCACTAATGGTTTCAAATACAAATGGTTTCACTAATAAGTATCTTTAGTTCTCAACTGTTAACAAAGATGTGCAGATTGCACGCATAGCAGGGCAGCCTAAATTTTTTTACACCTTACATTTGGCTTGACTATAACAAGCATAAAGCATTAGCAGGAAGAGGAGAAATAGCATAGACATTATACTCTTCTTAATATACCCAATATTGATTATTTGATATGGTCACAAATCCATAATTCTGTAAATGCCAGGAAAAAAAATCTGCTTATTATAGTTACATCAAATAAATAAAAAATAAAACTTACAACCCTAGATGTTATGCAAACCAAAGAAAAAATATTGATATGACCAATTAACTAAAACAACAAATCAGTTTCCGAAATATGTGAACATACATTGACTAGCAAAAATTGCACCGACAAAGACAGAACAAGGTTAAGAAGCCAACCTGCCATTTTTTGTTTCAACAGAGAAATTATTCTTCACTAAGTGGCTCTTCTTTTATCTATAAATGATCCCCTCTTGCCCTTAAGGGAAGTCAACCTATCTCGTGAACTCTCACGGACATTATGCCATTTACTCATTTCTCTTCTGCTAGGTTCTTTTGGTGACACTTTATTATTGGTTGTGCCCCGGGGTTTCTGAAGCAACCTTTCTCTTCCAGCATTTCTTGTAGAACCTCTTGCATTCAAATTCTTCTTATATGATCTTGACCCCCTTGTCAGGGTATTTCTACCAGCATGTGTCTTACTTGGACCCCCCTCATTGTCCTCCTCATCATCATATTCATAGTCATCACTGTCCGAAGAATGAGAATCCATATCATTCATCTCCACACTATCACAATCATCATCTTTTTCCCTTTGTTCCTTAGATTCATCAGCTGTCTTTTTCTCTTGTTGTTTATTTCCACCAGGCCCAACAACTACTTTACGATCTTCAGTTACTTTGTTCATGAGATGAACATACTGATTCCTAATATTTTTTAGTGGATTATTCTCCATTACCAATCCCCTCTTATAGGCCTCCCTCAAAACCACAGTTCCCATCTTACCTGACAAGTAAAAGATCCCTGGATGATGAAGCAATGCTCTCTTAAACCTCGACCTGATACCCAGCCACTCTCCTAGACCAAATAAAGTATCTCTCTCTACCTTCTTTGAAACAAAAAGACTAAGAACCTCATGCAAAACCCCCACCGTCCACTTATCAGACTCATCAGTACTAGGCCCTAGGTGTGTTGCATTCTCATATGGAGAAATATAAGGCAACTTTTGCCACTCATTATACCACTTCTTCAACTGCTTATCCATCTCAAACCCTGTAGAAAATTGCATAGAGAAAGCAATAGGCATCCCCTTTTGGTAATCCAATTTTCCACTTGTTGCCTTCTTTTCCATTAAAGAAATAGCCTTCTCATTATTCCAACAAACCAACTCCAATTGCAAATTTGAATCCAACCCAGGTGATAAATTGTTACCAATTACTCTAAAACAGTCAGGAAAATCAGGAACTAAACTTTTCACATAGTCCTCAGGTAAACCCAAATCCCATTTTATTTCATCAAGAATTTTTAGAGGTATTTTATCAATTCTTGAAATCATTAACAATTTTAACAGTCTATTAGCAATATCCTGTTTATAACTCTCACTCTGATAAACTAACTCTTCTTCAGAATCAAGATCAAGTACCTGTGGAGTGAGCTTGATGTGGGGATGGATACCTATGCCACCAGGGAGAAATTCCTCGAAAATTGAAGGGTATTTTCGGATAAAGTCAATTGGGCGAATTGGGATTTTGAGGGAGTCTTTATTTTGACAGATTATGGAGAGGGGGAGAGATTTTGCCGGCTCTAATTTTATAAGGTTCTTTATGTTGAGCAACGGCTTTAGATGTTTTTCCCTCTTCACTGCATGGTCAAGGCCCCGGTCGCGCAGTTGTTTGATGGCAGCGAAGTCGACGAAGCTGTGGTGGAGTTGGTGGTGGAAGTGGCAGCTTTGACGGCGATGTCTGGGAAGGTGATAGAAGAGGAATTGCATTCTTAGTGTGGTTGGGGGAGGCTGACTCCTGAAATGAAATGAAAAACCTCAAGAAGGGTTTTACGTTTTTATTAGCTGGAATATAATTTAGTACCCATAATAATTTTTTTAGGAGAATATTTATTATATTTCAATGAAGTTTGCGGTAATGATTAATGAATAAGTCTAATATAATCCATTAACCCCAGCTTTACAATTTCACCCCATTTTAATATTTCTGTTAATTTGACCTTAATTTCGAACTTTATACAATAATAGCTCCCTCAATCGCAATTATTTATAAAATTGCAAATAAAAAATACCTTTGTAAATTTTTAGACATCATGTTACACCGAAAACCTAAAAAATAATTTTTTAAAAAAAAATCATTTGTGTACCTCATTAATATTGCACAGGTTAAATCTCTAATTTTTAAAACAAAAACTTGCTAATTAATAATTTAATAAATAAAGTTTTGTAACATATTAAAAAATTTTAAAGTATGACATAAAAATTAAATTAATAAAATATGGCTTTGATTAAACTAAATTAATAATTAAAGGTTCCATTATTCATGATTGGCAAACTCTTTGTTCGGGGTTTGAATCCTTATCTTTTGCTTTTTCTAGGAGATTAGCGAATTAGGTTATTTATGTGTTTACTCGAGCAACTAGTTCTATGTCTAATTCGATGGAATGGAGCGTTAATTATTCATTTATTATTTATGATGTACTTTTGAACAATGCTAATAATATATAATCACATCTTTCCATTTAACAAAATAATAAATATAATTTTTTAATTATATGTTTTATTTTCATATTATCTATATGTTAAGAATAAAAAATCTTAATTGTTGTAATTTGTGGATTGATAATATAGCAAAATTATTTTTCATTTAATAAATGAAAAGCCCCAATTTTAATTTTTCATTGAATTAAATTTTAAATGAAAAATTTGAAAATATTATTATAAATTATTTTTTGACAAATTAAACTAAAATCAAATTAAAAACCCCTTAACTCGGACTTAAACCATTTAAAACAAAAAAAAAAATGTTTAAGATTCAATTAGACCAAACCCCATTTAAATTGAACCAGACCAAGATATAACCCAATCAATGAGGGAAGAGAAAAGCTTATCCCCATCTCCTCTCCCTCTTACGTCGCGCAATAGCTTTTCTGACCGTTTCTCTCTCCAATCAGTTTTCGACCACCAAATAACCAATTTCAGGTGGCCATCGACTCCTTGGACGTTGATGATCATGTTCTCAACATTCCTTTTGAATGGTTAAAGACTACTTCACGTGAATCAAAGCTTTTTCTTCTGATAACCTTCTTTGATTTTCCAGCAAAGGTTGACACTCTCTAGTTGTGATGTCAGGCAATATAAGTATCAAACAACTTTTCTCTCTCTCCTCTTTCATTTGATGGCATTATTATGGATTTCTATAGTCAATATCGATTAAGCCTTGCCAAACTTTTCAAGCCATTTTAGGGCTGAATAACATATCCGACCCCTTCTTAAATTGATCTCATATTTGAATTACTCCTGAGATTTGAGTGTTTTGATATTTGAATTACTAGCTTCTGACGAAGTGTGATTTTTTGACTGCCATACATGGAGGCGGTCCGACGACAACATTGGGACTAGAATTTCTTCCTCTTTATGTTGATCACATATATACAATTGAATCTTAAATTACAGTGAATTTGGAATCTATAATTCCATGATTATAATTTCCAATGCCAAATTCTAATAATAATTGGTGAATTGAATGATTAAATCATCCTCAAACATGAGTATTGAAATTTTAATAAATTTTTTAAGCTTTAATAAATAGTTAGAGCAAAAGAGTGGTGAAAGTAAATGTAGGTTGATCCTATGAAAATTGTGTATTGAATCAAGATGAATTTATATATGGATTTGCTTTTAAGAAATTTTGAACTAGGCATTTCTAGTTAATTTTCTTAGCTATGTGGTTAGAATCGACAACTATTCAATAAGTGAATATTTCCATGATGGCACCCCAACTCTGCGGGGACCAATTTATGCACCCCAAGTTTATTTTTTTTGTGTCAATCTTGCACCTCTCCATGACGGCAGACCAGTGTGTGGATACAATCACTCAAATGAGTGTTAATTGAATTTATTAAGGCCAAGAGGAAAATCTTTAACTTGGCTCTTAGTGGAAATTTTTCCTTCTATTTTACAACTACTTTGCCTCCACTTTCCCTTTTCTTCTTCTCTTCCTCTCCATGTCAATAACTTGAGTGTAAGAAAAAATGTATTGAGCTTCTTCTTCGTGAATTTTTGGAGGGAGATAAAGCCAATCAACTAAGGTTACTTCTTAGTTCAGCATTTTCCTCCATTTTCTCAAGGACCAAACACAGTCAATTTATCACATATTCAATTAAATCAAAACCGTAGTTGAAAATAGTCCCTTCACACTCAAAAACTTGCAATTAATAAATCTAAAGCTATTACTAAAACAAAAATCATACAACAAAACTGCAGAAAGACCCAATTTAGAAACCCGAAAATTTTGATTACTTTTCTTTTTAGATCTTTTTGCAGTTTAATAATCAAACTATAGAAATAATCGTAGAAAAAGTTGATCCATGCTTTTTTATCTTATGGGAATTCGAATTTTGAGGAAATAAGGACTCACATAATTGAAAGAGTCCTTGAGGAGCGAAATCTTTGAGACAAAAAGAGTCCTTAAGCAAGGAATAGAGACAGAAAGATTGGAGGAGACTTTAAAAATAAATTTTAAGAAGTATTTAAGGGATAAGCAACACCAAATTTACCTCTAGAAAGATCCAAAGTAATAAGAGTCGTAATTGTACGTACTTGTAAAGAACTCAAATTTGTGTAGTATTTTCTCAGATTTTGCATTAAAATTATCAAACAAACTTCTCATTGATGTATTCTTTCATCGAGATTCAACTCAAATCACGATGGCATTTTGGCACAGATCACAGATCCAATGAAAAAGAAAACACAAAAAATGGATTTTTGTTTTTTAATAGTTTGGGGAATGGAAGTTGAATTGCCTTTTGGTTCTCATAACTTCTATCCATGCGCTTCATATTCTCTTAGAGTTCGCTCCAAGAAATATAGCACTCCTCCGTCCCTCGAGACCAACAAGGGGTAGTAAGGTTCCAAACTCAATAGTGGCAACTAAGCACGAGGGTTGCGCTCGTTGCGAGCATGGGTTACTTCAGCGCTGCAGCACCTGGTACTCGAACTGTAACGCCCCATTTTTCTGTGTCTGACAGAGTAAGTTTACCAGTGTGTAAATAGTATCACCAGTCCGGAAGTCGATATTATTTTGGTTATTATTCCTAATTTGATAATACTAAACTGGGACCTCAAAAGCATAGATCCTAATTGGACTTCATTGCACTTCACGCTTCCAAAATTTTGGATGATTTAATCATCTTTCTGGGCGAAACAGAGGATATCTCAATCAGGGGAGGAGAACGGGAATCCCCGTATGACCCCAATATAGTCTGACAAGTCGCACTATTACGTCAATCCAAATTGAATCGTCTTCCCCAGGATTTCGAAAAGGACTTCTTTGGAACACCAATAGGCATAAATGCAAAGAAAAAAAGTTAAGTACTCTATTTTCACTTTGATTGTTGAAACGTAACAATGAATTTATTGTCTTAATAATATTGATCTTTATAATTAATATTAATATTGAAATAATTAATATTCAATATTGACTTTTATAATATTTTATGCGTGATCGCCTGAAGTTTATTTAAAAAAAAATAAACAAAAATAAAGGAAGACAAACGAATAAAGTCAAATTATTACGAATAGGTCCTTGAATGATAAACAAACCCCTAACAGTTCGCTCATATAAAAATGGGGCAACTCCCCCATGCGTATTGGTACTTTATCGGCTAGTAGTATAGAATAGGATTCTGCTTCTCTTTTCTTTTGTTCCTACAAAAACAGAATTGTTACATTATTACTGTTACATTATTACTTAAAATAAAAAGAATAAAAAAAAATATTAATTGCTTTCTCCGAGATAATCCCACTTAAAAAGGGAGGTCACATAACATAGTTTTTCCAGTGCAATAAAGTTACATAGTGTTCTATTTTTTCGTTAATTAAAGGGTATTTCCATGGGTTTGCCTTCGGTATTCTGTTCATTACGTCGGTATGAATGATCCCCGGTCGTTTGCTTGTCTGTCCATATTAATGCATAACAGCCTTGGTTGCTGGTTGGGCCGGTTCGATGGCTCTATTATGAATTAAGCAGTTTTGATCCCTCTGACCCCAAAAGTTCTCGATCCAATGCTGGAGACAGGGTAGTTACGTTATTTTACCCTTCATTGACTCGTTTAGGAATAACCAATTTCGTGGGGTGGTGGATATCACAGGAAGAATATAACGAATCGGTATTTTGGAGTTATGAAGTGTGGCTGGGGCGCATTATTGTGTTTTCTGGCTTGTTGCTTTTTTGGCAAGCTATTTGGCCATTGGTGTATTGGATGCTAGAGTTATTTTTGCGATGAACGTACAGGAAAACCTTCTTTAGATTTGCCAAGATCTTTGGAATTCATTTATTTCTCTCAGGAGTGGCTTGCTTTGGGTTTGGTGCTTTTCATGTAACCCGGATTGTATGGTTCCTGGGAATATGGGTGTCCGATCCTTATGGGACTAAACAGGAAAGGATACAACCTGTAAGTCCAGCATGGGGTGTGAAGGTTTGATTCCTTTTGTTCCAGGAGAATAGCTTTCTCATCATATTGCTAAGCGGGAACATTGGGCCATATTAGCGGGCTCTTCCAATCTTAGTTGTCCGTCCGCCCAACGTTTATACAAAGATTGCGTATGGGAAATATTGAAACTGTTCCTTTCCAGTAAGTATCGCTGCTGTCTTTTTTGCAAAGCTTTTGTTGTTGCTGGAACTATTGTGGTATGCGTTCAGCAATACCCCGATTGAAATTATTTGGTCCTACTCGTTATCAATGGGATCAAGGAACTTCCAGCAAGAAATATATCAAGAGTTAGTGCTGGGCTAGCCTGAAAATCAAAAGTTATCCGAAGCTTGGT